GTCTTTTGCAAAATTTGTTGGTAAAGTCACCCAAGCAGACAAACTTTTCAGAAAACGCGTTTAAACGCATGGAAATTGGCCTAAAATCCGCAAGTGGACATTTTTGGCTCACACTCGCAGTTCCCGACTGGGAGCCAAAAATATCCATTTTTCGCCCTTTTTGTGCGTCTAAACGCGTTTTCAGACAAGAAACATTACTGTAATCATGATCATGCATTTCGAGTATGAGAAAACGACCACTTTTTCTCTTTTTGTATGCGTGTACACGCGTTTCTTGTCTGAAAGCGCGTTTAAACGCACAAAAAGGGCGAACAATGGATGTTTTTGGCTCACAGTCGGGAACTGCGAGTGTGAGCCCAAAACGTCCACTTTTTGCGGATTTTAGGCCAATTTCTATGCGTTTAAACACGTTTTCAGAAAAGTTTGTCTGCCTGGGCAAATGAGACAGAAGCGTGCAAGGCGCTTAGACATGAGCAACGTCAAGTACTGTCCTATCAGTCTGACGTATACAAAGGGCTGTATATAAAGCATTAAAATACCAAACCGACATCCTGTAACTAAAATTGATTGCATGAGCATGACTGTATTGATAGTCTAAAATCAGTCTGTGAATCATCAATTTATGGCTTATTCCAAATAGTTCTTGGTGTCAAAACGGTACATGCGCACATACCAATTGGTAGGGCAAATCGATTTAAGGCACAAAGCGAAAAATCAAGAGATTAGACGAGTTGTACAATGAAAAATTTATGGAATTTAACGGCGTTCACTTCAGATTCATAATAGAGGGAAAAGTAATGCATCTCATGATAAAGCGAATAAAAGTGAATGTCGAGAAGTGAATCGGTGTCGATAGATGGATAGATAAATGGGTATATCTGTATGTAAATTCTTTACTCATATGTAACTACCGAACCATCCAGGAATGCTACACATCCGCATGCGCATACTGACGCATACTCAAAACAATGGTAATCGTTCATTTTATTGTACGGTTCTTCGTCATTCATTTTTCAATTGTATTCATTCTCTTCCACGTTGCCCATCTACAAGCAATCTTCTGAACTTGACAAGTCTACAAAGAATGTTTCCATCAACAGTTCAAAAAGCACAAAGAATTTTTTATTTGTACAATGTTTTTAGTCATTTTAGTATCACCTTGTAAAATGACTTTACTATTATCGAGGGTGTGGGAGTGGGTGTGGGGTCTGGGCCTGGGTGTCGGTGTGCATGTGGATGTGGATGTGAATAAAAATAACAAATACACCCAACCACACCCACATCCTCACACCCACACCCTCGATAATAGTAAAGTCATTTTACAAGGTGATACTAAAATGACTAAAAACATTGTACAAATAAAGAATTCTTTGTGGTTTTTGAATTGTTGATTGAAAGATTCTTTGTGT